ACCTGATGGCTTCCCAGCTCTGTTCTTTCAAAAAAATTGGCAAATTGTGGGTAAGCAGGTTTGTGAGTGTGTGAGAGCCTGCTGGTCTAAACCAGAGAGGATCAAGGAGCTGAATAAAACTTTTTTGGTGTTGATTCCTAAGATCATTAAACCGGAAAAGATCTCACAATTTAGACCCGTTGCTTTGTGTTCAGTTATGTATAAGGGCATTAGCAAATTAATGGTGAATTATCTTAAGCCTCTCCTCCAGAAATTAGTATCTCCATATCAAGTTAGTTTTGTGCCCAACAGGCAGATTCAGGACAACATTGTCATTGCTCAGGAGATGATTCATTCTATGAGTAGGATGAAAGGTAAAAGGGTTTTTTTTGCTATAAAAATAGACCTTGAGAAGGCTTATGATCGAATTTCTTGGAGTTTCATCAACAAAGTCCTGAAGGAGATTAATTTGCCTGAAGCTATTATTCATATAATCATGTGTAGCATCACCTCTACTAATCTGGAGATTCTTTGGAATGGAGCTAAGGCTGGAACTTTCTCTCCTAGTTGAGGTCTTAGGCAAGGGGACCCCATATCCCCTTACATTTTTGTTCTTTGCATGGAGAAACTGTCTCACATTATAGCTGATGCAGTGGATAGAAGAGAGTGGAAGCGTATGACTGCAGGGAAAAATGGTCCTATCATCTCACACCTTCTTTTTGGTGATGATTTGCTTCTGTTTGCAGAAGCATCTTCAAGTCAGATAGCTACTGTTATGAATTGCTTGAATTCTTTTGGTGAAGAATCTGGTCAAAAGGTGAGTATGATGAAATCCAATATATTTTTTTCTAAGAATGTCTCAAACGAGCTAGCTGAGGAGATAGTGGAACAGAGTGGATTTACTAGAACAAAAAATATTGGTAGATATCTTGGTTATATGATGAAACATGGTAGAGTTAGCAAGACTCACTATAGTGATATCATGGGAAGAGTCCAGAGTAGGCTCAGTGGTTGGAAGACACAGTGTTTATCCATGGCTGATCGTGTTATTCTAGCCAAATCTGTAATTTCTGCCATTCCTATGTTCAGTATGCAGAATAGCTCTCTTCCGGTGGCTCTTTGTAATGACATTGAGAAGATCCAAAGAAGTTTTATTTAGGGAGATACAACCAATCATAGAAGTCATCATTTGGTTGCTTGGGAGCATCTGCAGCTGCCTAAGGAGCTAGGGGGTCTGGGGATCATCAACCTAAAGAAACAAAATGAAGCCTTCCTGCATAAGAGTATCTGGTCTTTGATCAATGCTCCTTCGCAACTTTGGGCTCAAGTTGTTTTGGCGAAATATGGTAGAAAGAAAGATATTGCTAAAGAGGTGAGTGCTAAACCTTATGACTCCCATTTTTGGCGAGGGCGTTGCAAAATCTGGCCTGCTGCACTGGAAAATTTGGTATGGCAGATTGGCAATGGTCAGAACATTCTTTTTTGGCTGGATAAGTGGGCTGGTCTTGATCACAATTTATTATTTTATGCTAACAAAGCCCCTGATGTTTCTGATTTAGAGCTCAAAATTGCTCATAGTACTTTTAATTCCTTAGAAGGTTGGAATCATGAGTACATTAGCAATTTTTTCAATCCAAAAATTTGTAATACCATTCTTGCTATTCCCAATCCGAAGGCTGAAGAGGAGTCAGACTGCTTATCTTGGAAAGATTGGAGTCCTAGTTTATCTCTTGTGAAGATGGCATACAACAGATTGATGGACTTCCCCCAAAATAGCATTGATGGTACTTGGAGAAGAATCTGGAATTGGAGTGGTCAAGAAAGAATTAAGCTATTCATGTGGAAATTAAATCATGGACGGCTTTTAACTAAAGAGAGGACTGCAAAATGGGGGAACAGCTCTGATAGATGCACCTCTTGTCCGGATAGAGTGGAGACATGCCTTCATGTGGTTCGAGATTGCATTAAAGCTAAACAATTCTGGTCTTTGCCATTAGTACAGCCCCTGCCATCTGGCTTCTTCAATGATATGGAGTTCAAAGATTGGATGGTGCTCAACTTGAGTCAGCACAAGGTTTGTTCCTTCGACTGGAGAGACCCATTCTTTTTTATCTGCTATTATCTTTGGATCTGGAGGAATAAAGAGATCCATGAGGAGAATTTTGTTAGACCTGGAGATCTTTCCAGTTTCCTTTCTAGACTTTTTGAGGGAAAAAACAACTTGAGCAGATCAAATAATAGTAGAACACAACTTATTGATCCCTTGCCCAGCTTGGCATCTTGGTCTCGGCCTATGGAGGGAGAGTTAAAGCTCAATGTAGATGGTGCAGTGGTGGGGGAGAGAGCAACCTGTGGTGGCTTGTTGAGAGATAGTCTTGGCTGTTGGGCTGGTGGTTTTTCCTTCTTCTTGGGTTCATGCTCACCTTTAAATGCTGAGTTGTGGGCTATCTTTTGTGGTTTGGAGGTCTCTTGGAACCTTGGTTACAGAATTATTACAGTTGAATCTGATTCTCTACAAGCTATTAGCTTACTTACTAATGATAGTAAGGTTACTCGAAAGCTACCTCTAGTGGCTAAGATTCGAGCATGTCTTCGAAGAGATTGGAGTGTGTTCTTGACTCATATCTCTAGAGAAATCAACAAGTGTGCGGATTGGATTGCTAAAAAAGCTGTTGATGATGAGTATGGTCTAAAGCTTATCTCCTCTCCTCATCCGGATCTGGCTGACCTTATGGAGGCAGATAGTTTGGATCCTGGTTAATGTGTCTCTTTATGTTTTCTGTCTGTCTGTTTAGTTTCTCTTTTAGTTTCTGTTTTTTGTTTGTTCTTTTGTTTTGGGGTTATGCCCCTTATATGTACCAAAAATAAAATAAAATAAAATAAAATAAAACTAACAAAAAAACTATTGTACATCCTTTAATTCATCTTTCGAACCCAGATGCTGGACCCTAGCCTCAGTGCAATGGTGTGTGGTTGTCGCTCTATAACTTGTATGCAAATCAATCGGATAATTAAGTTTGACGATATGGTTATGTAACATGTTATACATGAGATTATTTATAGTGAATCAGGACCGCTATTTTTTAGGTGGTTCTTTAGTGTAAATAGGAAGGTAAAATTGAAAAAGAAGGAAAATAATAAGGGTAAAAAAAAAAGAAAAAAGTAATAATGTGAGAGGGAGCACCAAAATATTCAATGATCCTGGACCATACTAAATATTTCCGTTATACAGAAGTAAAATGTAATGTCCGTTGTTTAGAACTATCCGTGGCTTTCAAATGATGTCACGCGTCAAAATTGGGAGCCAAATTCTTTCCGGTATTACATTCTCTCTTTTTTTGGTGTGGCGTATTACATTCTTTAAATTTGATTAATGTCTCAATAAACTCAATAGTTGTAAGTTGTTCGTTACTTCAATTAATTCATCAATTATAAGCAACCAATATTTTATAGAGTTTATTAAAGCCAAATACATATGCTTCAATAATACGAAAATATTTTCAATGTCGCTGATGTATCTACTTTATACTTCCTTTATTAAATATGAAAAAAAAAATTATATTATTTATACTTTTATGATTATTTTCCCTTATTTTCTTTCTTTTTTAGTAAAAAGTATTGAAAATATGCTCCGATAATACTAACTACCGTACTTTTCCTACGAACTTTTCACTTTCTGAACGTACAATCTTCTTTTACAAAATGATGAAAGTTAACTGCTCTTATTTATGAAAATATTGACTGTTTGCAAAAATAAATTAATAATTAATTATTTTATGGCAAGTTTGTAGGAAAGTTTACCACTAAAAGGAAATATTATTGCTTAATGGGTAGAAAGAAACGGGTGAATAGAAACCTAAGGATAGAATAATATACAAGAAGTAGTTTTTGAAATTAGAATAATATACAATAAATCAAAAAAGTATGAAAGACATTAATTTTAGAATAAAATATACAACAAGTAGTTTTTAAAATTAGAGTTTTGCCAAAGATGAACCGAGTGTTTGCTATATGATTAGAGTGAACATCTGCCACGTAGTCGATCGAGGTACTTTAGTCGGTGCTCTGCCATGTGTTATGATGAAAAGGTATAGTATAGTGCATTTACCTGCATCATCTCTAATGTTTAAGTTAGTATATGCAAGAGGTGGAGAGTTAATTAATTGCATTTGTAGAAAATATCACTAAATTATAGAGACAACTAGACAAGAAATCCAGACATTTGGAATGATCAAATTGAGAGCAGCAAATGAGGTAGTTCTATATTTTAATATTATTCATGTAAATTTAAGAGTAAATATCTTTTTTGGTCCTCAGCAAATTTTACGATACCCGCTTTAGTCCCTAGCAAATAAAAAGGTTAATCGTGGTCCCTAAGAAATTCAAAATGGATCCATTTTAGTCCTTTTAGGGACTAATATGAGTCTTTTTTGAATTTGTGAGGACCACGGTTTCAACTAATTGGGTCCATTTTAAATTTCTTAGGGACCACGATGGACCTTTTTATTTGCTAGAGACGAAAAAGGACATCCTAAAATTTGCTGAGGACCAAAAATGATATTTACTCTAAGGGTTAGCTTTTTCTACAATTAATATAGATAACCTATCTACATTAAGCCCAAAACGACATCGTTTTGAGACGAAAATCAAGGTATTTTTATAATTATAATAATCTTTTTTATTATAATTTTTTAATTTTTCAACCCAAAACAACGTCTTCAATTTAAAAAGTTAAAGCCTTACTCTAAATTTAATAACATTGAGCTTAAGGCTACTCCTTTTTAACATTATATTTTGATGACAAAAAATAAGCAAATTAATTTGAAAGAGAGGGGTGTTGCGAGAATCGAACTCGCGACCTCTCGCACCCGAAGCGAGAATCATACCACTAGACCAAACACCCTAACCACTGAAGGTTTTCATGGAGAAATTATATTTCATAAAAATAGCTAATCTTATTGTGCCAACTTCATAATTGAGCCAAGCCAATCCTAAAACCCACTAAGATAATTGAACATGAAAACAGAAATGGCTGTAACAGCAGCAGCACCAACATGTCATCTTCGGCATTTTCTTCATTCGAGACCATCATCACTATCACTCTCTTATTCTTCTTCTATTTCTTTTCTCAAACCTCTAACTGTTTCTTCTCCCATTGCTCTATCTACGCGCCTTAGACAAATCCATGTTCCACCGCTTCGAAAAACCCTTTTTCCCTTTCTCTTCTCCATCTCCACCTCCTCTTCCTCTTCCCTTACTGCTGTTGAAGCGGAAAAATCCGCAGAAGACGATGATGCAATGGAACAATACGGTGAAGAAACAGAGGTTGCAGAAGATGAATTGGAAACTGAAAGAGGCGATTTTGAAGATACCCAAATGGATTCAACTTCGTCTCCGTTGGAGAGAAATCGTGAGGAGAAATTGAAGTTGGAGCTGCCGAGTCTCACTGTGAAAGAAAGGAAAGAGCTTGTGTCATATGCGCACAGTTTGGGAAAAAAGCTGAAGACCCAGTTGGTTGGAAAGTCTGGTGTTACCCCTAATGTTGCAACCTCTTTCATTGAGACCCTTGAATCAAACGAGCTTCTCAAGGTATCAATTTCCTTAATTTCTCTATGCCAATGGTTACCGTATTTCAAGGGGTTGTGTTCTTTAAAATAATTCCCCAATTTTCCTTGCAAGTTGCAACCTAAGCTGGTAAATGTGGTTTTATTAAGCTAGTATTTCATTTTTTTGCTATGCTTCCAATTCATAAAATTTATTTCTCTTGGATTGTTTGTTTAACTTGTTGACTACTTCTCAAAGTAGTTTTCTCATGTTTAAAATCTTTACCTTACATTTTAATTACTACGTGCTTTTATGTTGTGATTTAGGACTTTGGACAGTTGATGGTAGTAGCTACTGATTCTTGCTTGAAGTTGCTAATTATTACAACTTTGGAACCATAAAATGAATTCTAAAGTAACTACTACCATCAACTGTCCAAAGTCCTAAATCACAACTTTGCAAAGCATGGACATACACACTGTGTTTGACAGCTTTCCTTTAGCCTCTGGTTTGCTGATTGTTACTGAAATGGTTTTTATATTGAGTGCTGGTGATTGCGTTACTTTGCATGCCTAAAACAAAATGCGGGATTGACTAATGTATTGGTGGATTTTAACTCGTATAACCACTACATTAGGTTGTTGTAGACTGCACAGAGTAATTTTTGTAGCGATTATAATCTGTCTATTGTGCCTTTATCTTGTGTATCTTCTTTGGCTTTCTAGCCATGTAAAATGTAAGAGTGTGAACTTGTTCGAAAACTGGGATCCTATTAATTTATGCATGCAATTTTGAATGGCACTTACAGATTAAAATACACCGGAGCTGTCCAGGTGAATTAGATGATGTGGTGAAGCAGTTGGAAGAAGCAACTGGTTCGGTGGCTGTTGGTCAGATTGGTCGAACTATGATTATATACAGGCCTAGTCTCACCAAATTGAAGGCAGAAGAAAAGAAGAAGCAAGTTCGTGAACGTTTTCATAAAAGAGTACTAAAATCAAAACTGGCAAAGGCAAACAAGGTGAAGATTGTGCCTTTGGTTTTTTTTTTTATGCATAGATTATTTTGGTCACTTGCTATGTTTTCCTAATATTCTTATGAAACTGCAGAGTACGGAACAAGCACCCAAATTATTTAGGAGAGGTTCATCATGGAATCATATAAACAAGGTAAAGGTTGCGCCTTTACTTTTTTATGCATAAATTATTGTGGTCACTTGGCACATTTCGCTGATATTCTTATGAAACTGCAGAGTAAAGAACAAGCACCCAAATTTTCGCGGCGTGGTTCATCATGGAACGCGAGAAGCAGTAGGTCAAACACAACATAATTTTGTCGAGGTTTGTTCTGGTGCTCGGCCTATACATGCTTGATGCTTTGCATGGAGAGAAACCAATGCTCAAGGTACTGGATATTTTATTGGCAGGGGAAAACTCTGTTGAAGATCATTTTGGATCAAGGAGCTCTTGTATACGATGACGGAATGTGCTTCTGACCTCAGCTGGAGAACGTGACATGTCTTGAGCTGTGTTTTGTTTGGTTTGTTGAAGGACCAAACAGTAGATTCTATTGCGATTAATATTTAGCATTTTGCAATTATTACTAAATCTGAAATCTTACTGATTACATTTTTTTTTGTCACTTTGAATTTTGCCTGCTTCCAATGTGCAAAATATCAGAAACCCTTATTAACTATGCTTGGTTCCAAGAACAATCGTTTTTTGGCAACGAAGGACTTAGACAATCTCTTTGTAATGTAAGAAAAAGATAAAGCAATTCCTGATTGGCATGCTGCAATTAGTGTAATTGCATTCTGTGTCCAGTTTACAAACGTTAAAATACATGACGAAGATTGAGGCAGTACCTTGCTGCACTGCATCGTATAACAATGTAGTTGTAATGTAATGTATGCTGATTTCCTAATACTGATTTGCGAGCAACTAAACGTACTTCTATCCTCGTAATGTGTGTCATGGACTATAAACATAAAACCGAGTTCCTAAACTAAGAAGTTCTTAGATTTTGCAGCTTATGCTGGTCTATATCTTCCGAGTATAAAATGCCATTGGGAGAAAGAAGGCGCTGGAGGGCCATTGAGAACCGAACCTAACAACCATTAAAGAGTTGCAAATCAGAATATTTCAAGAACTAATACCTTAACTTGATGCAAGCTCTGGAGCTTATTCTTACCCATTGAAATACTGCAAGGGCAAACCAACAACCTTGCAAACCGTATCTGCTACTCAAGATCTGGGATCACGACAAAATGGGTCAAGCAATATTACTAAGTACACCAGGAGATCAAGAAAAAGTCGTTACCAGTAATACTAGTGCACCCACGCAAAAGCATCCACTCATTGATAAACTTATAAATCTTAGATCTCTTCCAGCCTGCATGAGTAACGATACATCGAAGTTACAATAGCAGTTGTTATATAACACATGCAGGTGCCCTATTTTGAATGAGTAATTCCACATATCAAGTTAGGCTGTTGGTGACAAAGTTAAATTGTCGTGAAATTATGCATTAATTACCATATAATGGAATAATATCATAGTATCCGCTAAATTTCACTTATGTTCAAACAACAGAATTTAGTTGAGCAAGTTTTACGCAACAGAAAAAAGTAGAATATATGAGCCATTCCATGGATAAAGTCCTTGAACATCCTAGGACATTAAAAGCTTGTGAGAAGCAATAGTACTTCAATATGCCTACTTTCATATTTATAGAAGATGAAATGAACATACCAGCAACGTTCCCTCTAGGCTGTGAGTAGGTGGTGTCACAGCCAGTGCCACAAAGTATGGAATCAACACCTTATGCATCTGCATGGTTACAAATACAGTAGTTAACAGCTAACAATTGCCTGAATTCCATAACTACGTTAAAATTCCTAAAAATCTCTGCATTTCCCATTTGTTTTCTCTGTTGCTTATTTAGAGCTCGTTATGCAGACTACGATTCAAAGGGCAAGTTTTGGGACAATGGTAAGATTGCTCCTTTGAGACTCGAAGAGTCTAGGAAACTGCATCTTTGTAAAAATACAACGGTAAAGCTGTGTACTAATGCAGACTATGATTTAAAATAATAAGCTCTCAAGGAACAAAATAAACCAGGACAAATAACATACTGATGTTATTGATGTTTTGAAACATAGTTGCAAAGGATTAAAAATGAAAGAGTAGAGCAAACGAAGTTAAAAAAAAGAAAGAACTGACCTCCTGGATGACCATCTGATCAGAGGTAAAAATGTAGGGAAATAAGCAAGGAACTGATGTTCCAACAATCCCTAACGAAAACCCAAGTGTAGCTCCAATTATCACAAGAGACCTGAGAAGTAATCGGGCCTGTTGATATTAAATAAATTCAAAAAGAATGACTGAGAAATGAGAATTGAATATCATTTCATAAGACAACACTGATCAGCAAAGAGAACAGAATATCATTTTATAAAACTATTCTTCCCAACTAAGAGGAGAGCCTTGGAGCGCGGTAAAGTTGCTCCTTTGTAATCTGAAGGTCACGGGTTCGATTTTGGCAAATAGCCTTTTTGCAAAAATGCAAGGGTAAGGCTGCATATAATAAACCCTCACTCCTATCTTTTCAAAGTCGGGGAGTCTTGTGTACCAGGGTTTGCCCTTTTATCTTTCCCAACTAAAAAAATGATCCTTTTATATAACATGAACGTCAAGTAGGAATCAGAGAGATCAGAAACTAGAGATATGAGGACAGGTGTAACACCCCGTTCTAGAACCGGTTTGTTAACATCGCATTATGATATTAAGCGCAGTTACAATCACATGGGTTCAATTAAAATCCGGATAAATTTTTCATTTTAAAACATACCGAACTTATAATACCCAATATCGTGATCATAACCATATTACCTTGCGGAAACAGATAAATTAAGCTTAACATCATGTTCATTTTCCATTTTTAAACCATTAATTTACTTCTTATTTATTTCACAACTTCTACTATATTGTAGGTTTCTTCATTAGCTACCCGTGGCTTCAAACCGTGCTCAAATCGGAGCACTGTAGCCCAAGTTAGGACAATTTGAAGCAACACAAGAGAGTGTTGGTCACAGGCCCCGCGCGCTTCAGCGCGCTACCGGGCGCTCAAGCGCGCGCTACCGGGCGCTCAAGCGCGCGCTATCGGGCGCTAAAGCCTCCATCTGGGCGCTTAAGCGCACGGAGGCAGTAAGCATCAGGCATTCCAGTGTGGATGGGCGCTTAAGCGCGCATCAGGGCGCTCAAGCGCGCTATCCTGGGCGCTTAAGCTCCCATTGGGACGTTTTAGCGCGCAGAGTCAGAAGCATCTCCTCCTTCAGTGGCTAAGGGCGCTCAAGCGCGGACCAGGGCGCTCAAGCGCGCAACCCTGGGCGCTAAAACACGAGGGGACAGTAAGCATCCCAACTTTCTGCAGCAAAGGGCGCTTAAGCGCACGCCAGGGCGCTCCAGCGCGCAATCCTGGGCGCTTAAGCCCCCACTTGGGCGCTCCAGCGCGAGGAGGCAGAATGCATTGGCACTCGCAGGGGCAGCAGGGCGCTTGGGCGCGCTGCCAGGGAATTCCAATTCCCACATTTTTCAAGTCCAAGCCTAGGGGAAGATGCATCCCCATTACAAACCCCAATTGTCCATGCCCCAAAACTAAATCCTAGCACTCATCCAACCTCTCCTCATGAGATTTAGCTAGAATTTGGGCAGCATGACCTTTGTTTTCTCATCGTTTACCAGTTTAAACAAAAGGTACCTAATTGATTCTCAGCCCAACCAATTCAACAACTCAATACATAACAAGCATGCATATATTGAATTTCAAGTAGGCATCATTTACATTACATATCCTTTACAAATCATAGAACTTAGCTTACAAAACACTATGATCATTCCCTTGGCTCCCATCAACAAAAGGTGTAACTAAAGGCATGAGCATAGGCTAAGTTCATCCAATGAATCAAGATATACAAATGACCATGGGCTTTCAAAATAAAATCCTATACATGTCAACTACAAAAGGCATGCATAATCTCAAAGAAATGCCATATTTCATGCATAATCCAGATATGGCCACTTGCCACCAGAGGCTCCTGCAGCATCCTTACCTGAAAGGGGGTCCCCACAACACGGGGTGAGATATACGAATATATCCAGTAAACCAGGGGTCCTTGGAGCATCTCTCCACCCTACAGTTCCATATCAGTGTAATAGCAATAACAATAATAATGCAGTAAATACATATCTATGCAAAGTGCAATACATCTCCAGGAGAAATCCCTCGAGCTCTCAAGCTGTCCTAAGGAAACTCAGATGCAAATAGTCCTACTAGCCAGCTAACTACCAAGTATGATTTACGCATCGTCATGCAACATACCAACATAGGGAAACACCATCCTATGCCACACCAAATGCATACACATACGTATAACAAAGCATTACACTATTTTATTGCATTTATATACACAATCACAACCTCCACCCTTTCAAGGCTTGGTAGAACAGTCAAGGGAATTACACCCAAGGTCCGAAGGCTTACCTCAAGCTTCAATTCGACCTTTGTTCACCACCAATGTCAACAATACTCTACTCCAAAACCAACACCTACACATGGTGTAATGCAATCAACACATTGCATCCAAGAGTATTTCACAATCAACCATCAAATACTCAATTCAAAACACCACACAAGTGTGAGCTTACCAATTCCAATGAGCTACTCAAGCTCCATAGCTTGTTCAAGCGGTTGATCACTCACGGTCGGTCCAAATGTCTCAATCCTAGACATCATTAGGACACAATCAATCATTCAACTCACCAATTGTTCAACATGCTAGAATACTAACCAATCCAAGCATGAACTTTCCAATATTATGAACAATTATCAAATGACTATCTAGGCTCATTTCCACCGATTAAATGTCATTCCTAGCATTTCTTACAACATGCACTAAATCTCATTCTTCCTAGAACATAGCAAATTCAACTACATTTCATCAAAATCCCAATTTACTATTCATAAACCCTAACTCATGCAAATTTCAAGGAATCATGAGGTTCAAGGGTTAGAATCTTACCACCAATGGTCACACAACCAAGGATTGATGGCTCCTCAAGCTTCAATGGAGAGAATCACCCCAAAACCCCAACTCTCACCAAAAGGGGCGAATTTTGGAGGGTTGATATCTCTCTCCCCAATAACTCCCACTCAAAACAAAGCTAGGATTATGAAAGAGGGCGAGATTCTAAGCGATTTAGGCTTTTGAATCACTCAAATCGGTTAAGGTTTCCTCTCTCTAGGTTTTCTCTTCCTCCCTTTCCCTCCATCTCCTTCTCCTTCCTTTCTTCTTTTCTATTTCTGGCGTCGACGGGGAAATGGGGGGATTTGGGTTCTTTTTGGTTACTTTATCACTTAACATAGGTTAAGTGGTAACATGTGGGTATTGGTTCGTCTATCTACTCAACTCCATTAATTACCAAACTTTACCCAAAAGTCTGGAATATTATTCTAGGAATATTACTATTTTTATTTTTATATTTTGGGCACTTTCACCAGTACCCATTTATACCCCTTAATTTTCACTGAGTACACTTTTAACTCCAAAGTGACTCAGATTCATTTAATTAAGCATTATACTTAATTTCACTCAGTACAACATGTTTAATTAATTAATTACACTTGATTTACTAAATAACTAAGATGGGCTATTATAACAGGGGAGAAATCTTTGGGCATCTAAGTAAGTTTTGTGACAATGTGAATGAGAAACACTAACCTTGGACAAACTTCGGTTTGCTCCATATATCAATTCGGGCATAAATGATTGAGCAGTTTGGGAGAGAGGTTCACCCCATACTGTACACATGCTAAAAGTTTGGAGCATGACCTGAAGTAAGCGTTACTTATCACTGGCCTTGAATTTGGTTTTCTAAAAATGCACAGAAAGCAAGCAAAGGAAGGAATATGTCACAAAACAGGAGACAGAGTAAAACTAACTTGATGAGCAGCCACTGTATGCGTACCCATTGATGTAGCAAAATATATAAGTAGTGAGTAGAAAGCCACCTGAACATCAGAACTTTAAATTACATTAAAATGTTAGACTACTCCACATAAAGCTACAAATCCAGTAAAATACTAGATACAACCTTGGACATCATTGTCATAAATACAGGAGCAGCAAGCCCAAGTATCATCACAAGTTCCTTCCCCGAAGGAATGGAGAAGGCAAATGCATTGTATCCGTTCATGTTTAGAGTTTGAATCATCATATAAGCAGCAACAATCTAGAAGCAAAAGGGAAAGGAAAAAGCAATATATAATGACCTGAGTACTTGGAAATTAGCTGGAACCATATACAGTACAATTTAATTTATTATGATGCATAAGAATTTGTTCAGCATACTTGTGATGCCATTGTAGCCCATGCAGCCCCTGCAATTCCATAGCCTAAATAGGTGCACAAAAGTATATCACCAATGCCATTTACAACACTAGCAGCAGCCAAAGCCTTCAAGGGTCCCCAAGAATCTTTCATACCAAGACTGAGGAATGCGAATATTATTCAAATCATACAAAGCAAAGTTTGAGACTCCGTATTATATTAAGCTCTGCTAAGGGTAAGAGTAATTTAAAAAAGATTGCTCACACAGATAAAAAAATGTTAGGTAAAACCAGAAAGAGGAAAATTCATACTTTCATTTGAAATATAAGAAACAGACAGGATATCTTCGACATATGGCAGGAACTATTGATAAAATAACCTTGCTATCTCAGAAATGTCAAAGCAAGGAAATTTTAGCCAATAATTTCTAAGTAAATATCAAGACAAATTCTACATTATATTGAATGGCATTTCAACAAAATTGATATCAACTGCTACATGAAATAGAATGTCAAGACTCAAAAGCAGTATCTCAGATTTGACATCAAAATTTGCAACCTCTCACTTCATAGAATCACACATTAGAAAGCAATAGCATATTTTCACCTTGCACTCTGAGCAACCCATCCAACAAGTAAAGCAGGCCATGCCAAGCCTCGAATCTAACATAAAAAAGGACTCATTGTAACTGAAAAGTCATTGTCGTAAATCAAGCCAAGGAGAAAAACATAGCTTGATCATTTTCAAAAATAAATGATTAAGAAACATAAAGCAGAATCTTATTTACAAGCTTTGATCCATTCATAAAAAAAATGCTGTTATAATACCTTCCATCTCCATTTTCAAGAAAATGGAAATTGACGGAGCCTTAAATTACTTTCCTCCATAAAATGTTAGGTAGCTTTTTGAATTTATAAAACAAGAATAGCAGCCGTATAAAAGGATATATAATTGCATAAAAACAAACCTGTACATAAATGTTAGCTGCGGATACTATATGTACATTCTTTGGGCCAGTGAAAGCTGAAAAAGGCATCAAAAGCAAAACCATCAGCTACGGGATTGGCTCCGCCTACGTTTTCAGCACAAGCGAATTCTTGTTATCCAAAATGTATTGAAGAACACAAATGGCTAAAGCACTCAATTTTCAATACCAGTGAGTGTTGCAGCACCAAATAGCCTTGTGAACAAAAGCATCACAAAGCCACAAGCTAAACCAATAAAAAGCAAGACAGATATGTGATGCTGCACTTCTTCTCTATCCTGCACAAACATTTGTATTCGTGAAAAGCAATGTAAGTCCTAAAAGTGCACAAAGTGGTAGATGTGAAGATTGCAGTCTACATGATCAAGTAGATTTAGTCAAATCAATTAAGTAGGTAAAGCAGTGATAAACACATTACCACATATTTAAGTACAGCAGCATTGAATGTTAAGTTGTAAATATTAAGATTATAACGAAATGACATATATCAACCAACCTAGCTGACTCATTACTGCCTATACATGTTATAATACTGTGTTGTCCTCTCACACACGTTACATATAAAATGAAACATGTCATAACATTCATGAACAATTTTTTCAATTTGAAAAAATTGAAAAAAGTTTTTGCAAGAGCTAATCACACATTAATTTGACCACTACTAAACTAATCAATCTTTTTGGGAAACTAACCTGCTTGGCAAGGGCAGTAGCAACCATATTTGAAGTAGCAACTGATAGAAACATGAACACGTAGCTCATGTAATCACAAACAACTGTAGCTGGACCTGTTCACGGTAAATTAAAGTAAGATAACTCTGTAATTATCCATTGTTAAATGATAATCTAAATAATGTGAAATGATAAATGCGATTTATGAATATCAATACCTAAAGCAGCAAGTTCAATTGAGCTTCCCTGACCAATAACTGCTGTATCGATGAGACTCATTAGGGGCCCACATATCCAAAGCCCAGTTGCAGGTCCAGTAAACATGACAATTTCCTTCATCTGACTCCATATACCTTGCTTTGCTAGTTCCTTTTTCTCACCATGCCTAACTGTTTCTTCATCTCTGTCTTCTTCAGAAGCCTCACTGATTTGGCCTTCATCTTCGGTTGAAGTTTCAATGAGTTCTTGACCTCGAGTTGTGCTAGCGATAACGAACCGAGTGCGATGAATTGTGGACGCTGAGAGGCATAAATTTGGAGGAAGGGAAGGTGCAAAGGAATGAAGAGGAGGAAGATGATGGTTTGAAAAGGTTGAAGACGTAGAAGGTGAAACGATATTAGGGTTTCGGCGAGGGCGAGCGAGAGCCATTGATTGGAGTTTGAAAGCCATTTTTGTTCTCTGGTTTGGTGGAGGGAAGGGAAAGCCAAATTCTCCCTCCTACAAAATTCACGGCGGACAAACGTGACGGTTTTACTTTTCCTCGTTAACTTAATAACTTTTTTTTTTTTTTTGTGTAGTTAACTCAATAACTTTAATTGAATGAGAACTTGAATTTAATCCACATTAATGTAATAACATTAAAATCTATTAATATGTTCGTGTATCATTTTTTTATTTCAAAAAAGATAGGAGACTGTAACAATCAATTAGTATTATTATCAATGTTACTATCAATCAATTTTATCGTTATATCGATTATGTTGATCCAACGATTATATTTATTCCTATCTTTGTATAGTTATGATTTTTTATATTTAATACTTTCGCATTAAATATGAGAAAATCATTAAATATGAGAAATCATAACCATACAAAGATGGAAATAAATATAACTGTTGGATCAACATATCGATCTAACAATGAAATTCATTGGTAGTAACACTAATTGGTTGTTACAATATCCTTCCCTTTTAAAAAAAGCTATACTTCTTATTTTATAATAATAATAATAGGTAGTTTTAGTTTACCAAAATAATAATAATAGGTAATTTTACTCAAATACATTAAATTAAAGGAATAAGATATGTTACCAAAAAAAGAAAAAGAAAAAAGAAAAAAATATTATATCTACCTTTTTTCATACCTATTCTAAAAATATAGGTAGAATATCTTATCCCTAAATTAAAATACATTTTTTAGGATAATTTAATATCTTGATTTATTTATCGTTAAACAATAATATATGTTATTTTTTTTAAAACACTTAAACTTTATATCTTCTTTATAATTAAAATACTTATTAAAGAATTTATAATTTTAAATATTTTGTAATATATTTTTATATTTCACCAAAATTAAAAAAAAAATTGTGTATAATACATAAGATACTTACTTTTTTTTTTTTGAATAATCTGAAGAATGAGTGGAAATCCACTTAATCAAATAATAAGTTTTCAATTTATCAAAAAAAAATATATATATATATATAAGTTTTCTACTGTTACTCCATTAAATTACTTCGTAAAATAGAAATTTAACCTATGTTTTTTATACAATAATGACACTTGAATTTGAATTTATAACCTCAAGCAATTTTTTGAAGTCCCTTGTCATTGGTTTATTTATAGAGGTTAGAATTTAACCCATATTATATGATATTAACTTGATACCAAATTTTATGTTGCCACATCATTTAAAGGAAATGTTATACTTATTAAATAATATAACAACACATTTTTAAATAATCAAGTAATTCCTTATATTTATAAGAATTTTATCAATCAAAATTAAATCGACTTCTTTATTAAAATAAGAAATATAATGAGAGGGATACAAAACCTATTAAATCCCTTTGTTACAGAGAATTTCACTTTAACATTTTCTCCATTAACCAAATAAGATAATAATAGGAGTGTTCGCGGTCTGAATTGGATTGATTTTAGAAGTAAAAATCATCCGATCCATTTATATAATCATTCATTCGGTTTGAAATTTTTTTCAAATCCGATCCGATCCAATTTTGAAAATCCTAAAATTTGTACGATGATTATTATGTAATCTAGAAGCATTGTATAACAATAAGTTAGATTATCATCTTTTACTTTCAACAAAAAATTTATAATATGATTGCCTGACATACGAAGTAACCTAAATTTTCATGCTGTATAATAATAACCTATGTAATAAAAATATATTATATATCTTACCAAAAAAATAAAAAATAACATAGATCAAGCACAACCCACCTTCTCCAACATGATGAGTTAATGAGTCTTGGATTTAAAATTTTACTATATGGTTTTTGGGATATGATTGAGGAAAGGCCCAAGTAGGCAGATGGTAAAGTTGGAAAATAATTGGATCGGTTTGGATTAGTTCAGTTTTCAGCAACCCATCCAAAAATTAATCCAATCCAATTAAATTTTGCTATTTTTTTTCAATTTTTAATTTGTCGGTTCGAACACCACAGTTCGAATCGGTTTGGATCGGTTGATGAATACCTTTAGATAATATGTAAGCAGATAATTTAGGGGTCATTCATTTTTTTTTTTTAGTCAAAAATTCAAAAAAATTCTATTGTTTTGCTTTGAATCACTTATCTTTCTTGCTTTTTTTTTTGTGAGCAGTTATCCTTCATGTTTATTTTTTAATCACTTACTCTTTATAATTTTTTTCCATCCAAATCGATTGTTAACACAATTAAAAATTTAACTAATCCATCTATTTTATCTTCTTAAAAAATAAAATAAAAATAATAAAAATATGTTAAAAACTTACAACACTTATAAAAATGACTGAAAGTAAAAAAATAAAAAATAAAAATATGTTTAAATAAAAAAGAAGAAAATAGATCGAGGACAAAAAAAAAGAATAAAAGAAAAAATAAGGCCAAATATGTTAAAAATTTACAGTAACCTATGTAGCACCGATACAACACGCGACACGTGACACGACACGACACGACACTCCGACACGTCAATCCTAAAAAATTATAGATTTCGACATGTTGGGACACGTTTTAATATTAAATAATATTTTTAATTTATATAGTGTATATTTCATTTAATATTTAATAATTTAACAAAAAAATGAAACTAAATTAATAATACTCATCAACACGTTATAAAGATGGAAGCTTTAATAAAAAAAATAAGAACTGGGATGAGAGAGATATAATATCAGATAGAGAGATCAAATCATATTAGAGAGAGATCAGAGAGAAGAAGATACAACAAGAGCGTGATAGAAATTGACAACAATGATGCTGAGATAATCTCTTATCTACTTAAGGGAAAAAAAGACAAAAAGATAAAATTGATATGATCATGTGGAAGCTTTATTAATATATTTTAACTTTTAAAAAAAATAAATTTTTTAAAAAAAAAAATTTAAAAAAAATTTAAAAAATTACGAAAATGTCATTTGACCGTGTCGGACACGGTCAAATTTGCGTGTCGGAATGGTCAACGTGTCGGAAAAAGTCAACCGCGTGTCCGACACCGTGTCGGAGCGTGTCGCCGTGTCGGAGCGTGTCAGACCCGACTCTTCCTGTTTTTACAAGTGTCCGTGCTTCCTTAACAGTAGCGATAGAAAGAACTAAAAGTAAAAAAAAAAATCTGAATCAAAAAAGAAGAAAATAAATTGAAGACAAAAAATAAGATTAAATATGCTTAAATCAAAAAGAAGAAAATAGATTGAACATTAAAAGAAAAAAAGGAAAATAAGACCATACATGTTGAAAACTTACAAAACTTATTTTTTTTTTTCTATTTCTTAATAATGATAGAAAAGATTAAAAGTTAACATAATTAAAAATAGAAGAAAAAAGACCAAATATATCTAAGTAAAAAAAAATAGAATGAGAAAAAAAAAACCGAATATGTTGGAAACCTACGACACTGGTTTTTTTTTTTGTTCTATTACTTTTTTATTTTATTTTTTTTGTCTTATTTTATCTTCTATTTCTTTTTTGTCTTCATTATATTTTTCCTTTTTATTAAGATTATTTTGTATTTTTTTACTTTTAATTTTTCTGCTACTTTTGTATGTTTTATCTTTGATCTTATTTTTTTTTTCTATTATTTTTTTTAGTTTTAGTATGTAAATGTTGTAAGTTTTCAATATATTTGATTTTATTTTTTCTTATATTATTTCCTCTTTTTTCATTAGTTATATTTTTTTTCAAATAAGGATAAAATAGGTCGATTAGTTAAATTTCTAATGTTGTTAAGAATAAATTTGAATGGAAAAAATCATAAGGATATAAGTGATTGAAAAAATATATAAGAGAGTAAATGATTCAAAAATTTTGAAATTTTTTCATATTTCTAACCATAAACTTTTCATGAGTGGAATGGCACAAAACGCGTGTAAAAATTTCTTTTATGAGTAAAACAATGAATTTGAAAGAAACTGGCTGTCAATCACATTATTTGTCTGCATTTCAAACTGAAATTTAAGCTCCATAATCCATAATAATGCAGCAGATGACTTTATTTATTTTATTTTTTTAAATTATATCCTGGTAATTCATTCGTGATCTAAATCCATCACTTCGAAGGAGATATAACTTTAGGCATAAACTAAATTTTGAAATTTGAAACGATGATAAGACTTGGAAAAAAAATTTAAAATGTTATTTCTTGCCTTTTGTTCCCATTCTTACTATTCCCTTCAACCAAATAAGAGAAATTCTTAAATTATGTATATTTTTTCTTTCCTTCTTATTTTCTTTCACTCAACCAAAACAAAGGGATGAAAGAACTCCACAAAATGAAAGACATTGCTAACAACAATCGAAATGGGTGACTATTTTGTAATATACATCTAAAACATTTGCAAGCAACAGACAACATGCTTCTATCGTCTGTATCATGAACTGTAAATATTAAACGGAGTTCCTAAACTAGACAGTCCTTAACTTTTGGCTTATACTGGACTAAATCTTCCGAGTATAAAATGCCATTGGGAGAGAGAAGGCGCACCACTGAAGACCGAGCCTAATGACCATAAAAAAATGACATTACATAATATTTTCAAGAAAGAAGGGCAACGTTTTTCTCATATTTCAAGAGAAAATATTGTACAAATATAATTAAGTGGGCTCCATAATTATAAAAAAAGAAAAAAAAAATATTAGCTTGGGCTTCGACGGTTATATAGAAAAATTTTCTCGGTCATTTCCCAAATATAAAACCGAGTTCCTAAACTAATTAGTCCTTAGCTTTTGAAGCTTACGATGGACTATATCTCCTGTGTATAAAATGCCATTGGGAGAAAGAAGGCGCTGGAGGGCCATTGAAAACCGAGCCTAACCACCATAAAAAGAATTGCAAATCAGAATATTTCAAGAACTAATAATTTTAACTTGATGTAAGCTTTAGATCTTAATTTTACCCATTGAAATACTGCGAGGGAAATCCAACAACCTTGCAAACCGTATCTGTTACTCAAGAGCTGGGATCACCAAAAATTGAGTGTTCAGGCAAAAT